AGCAAGTGACGTGCCGTTATGCCTCCATGAGGAACTTCAAATAAGTGAAACACAGGGCTGGATAAAGATCAGCATGATCACTCTGATTACACTCCACATACTCAGGGAAAGAATCTGTCTCTAAGCACTGTGTTTGTGTTGGAGGGTTACAATAATTAAGCATGGTTCTCCATTCAATTACACACTAAGCAGACACATAATTAAAATCAATATTTCACAACATCATCACACCTTTAGGGCCTGGGTCCACAGAGAGCTTTTTTTTTTTTTTTTTGCACTGGCAGCGCCCATTTTACACCAAGGCCATGCAGTTCTTTGTCAGCGTCCTGAGCGCTAACCTATGGCGCTAACATGCCCTCAGCATCAGCTGTTTAGTGGCACGGCGCTCAAATAGTCCAATTGAAAGCGGTTCAACTTTTGAAAAAGCGTTGCGCCCTTCAATGTCTCTTCTCCCACACTTACCAATGAAAATCAAGAAGGGGCGGGACTTCTCGTATCAGCGTTGTAAACAACAATGGCGGAGGATATACCAATTGACTTGACTTATCAAAAGTTTAATTTCCAGGTCTAGAGCTGTTAATGCTCGGAAAAGACTCCAAGTTCAAGTTTTCTTGGTGATACATTCTTTAAATAAAAACAAATATCAAGCACACAGAGCTATCTAAAACACTAATAGTTACAGAGGGAAGTGGAGGTAACCATGGCAACAATAAACAAGAAGCGCTCTGAATCTGTTGTTGTCAGCGCTGCCGGTGCAAAACTCGATGTCTGTGGACAAAGGCCCATATCCTGCATCATTTAAATTCAGCACTCTAGATGATGACAGTAATGTTTGTTTCGTAAGGTTCACGACACATTCTCATTATCTGAGACATCAAAGGTGTCGGCTGATTTAAATTGTAGGTTTGAGTGTAGAAGCTGGATCAATGATCTGTAGAGCCACATATTTACACTCAGGAAGGAGAGTTGTTTGACCTGTTTATAACAGATGGTTGATAACAGCTTGTTTGGTTTGTGCGATAGGAAAGATTTTGCTCTGCAGAACGAGGAAGTAAGGCCGTGTTCACACTTGACTTCTTATTTCAACTGCCTGCGCCTTTTTTACATACAAGCCTATAGAAAAAGGATGACGCCTTTTCAAAAAGCGCTGCGCCCGACGCCTTCTTCAGTTGAATTATTTAAACTTTTCAGAAAAGCGTTGGGTGACGTCAAGGGCCTTTCTGACAGCTGACCAATCAGGACGAGTAGTGACCTACGTCCCTGGTTACCTGTGTGCATCGCGTGTCCGCTCCGGTCCGTTACGGGTCCGTGCATCCTCATCCGTCAACACCCACCGGCTGTGTTCTCAGTCTGCAGCACGGAGAGCACAGCCAGATAGCTGGAGTATGAAGACAAAGGAGTTATGAGATAATACGATGTTCGTGGTATAAAACTCAATAAAAACCTTATAAACACATAAACAAACACACAAACGGTCGTTTTACTGAACCGTCAAAACGGAACGTGAACCGTTATTCTGAAAATAAACCGAATGTTTTAATGTTGTATCAGTGTCTGACTTCCCGTCCCGTTTGTTCTTTTCTGTGCTAAATTGATGCGTTGTGCTCCGGCCGGCTCCGGCCGGCTCCGGCACGGTTGCACCGCAGACTAGATCCTGTTGTTAAGGTTACAGAACACTTGCACATAAGCGCTCAAAAGGCGCTCTGAAAAAATAAGTCAAGTGTGAACACGGCCTAATCAATGTGGTGAGGCCACAGCAATCAAATAACACCGCCATGGTAATTGCAGTACTTAAAAGTACACAAGAAATATGTCAGCACAAACGGAGGTCAGGCTTCCACATTTTCTTGCTTCTCAAGGTAAATATTTATTCATTAAAACACTAAAACACATCAGACTGGACAACCCAAGACCCTCTCTCTTTCAGTCCAGATGGCAGGGAACTAACATCAAAACATGGATTTATCATCTGAAATCTCTGTTACCTCAATCCTACCATTCATTTGTATTTTATTTAAGTGGCGGCCTGCCGACCCAATGTGACCTCCTGCCCTTCCAAAAAAAAAAGTAACAGAATACTTTATTTATAGAGTTTATATATCAACAAATATTTTTTTAACAAAAAACCTACATACCACTTAAATTCTGGATTTTACCATCAATTATGTGCACATATTTTATTCCAGCAGAGTATGATGCACGATTAGTCCTGAGCACTCTCTCTGTGTGTTCCTACCAAAGGGAAGTTTTCGTCTTATATATTAACATATTGGCTGAAACATAACGCATAACGGTCCGTGTACCTTCCGTTCATTCTATTTCCAATTCTGAAACGCAAATCAAACAACAAATTTAGGGCCATTTTTTCTATTTCCATTTCTGAAACAAAAATCGGACAACTATTTAATTACCCTTTTTAAAAAAAACTATTGTATTTTCTGACTCAAATTTTTGTTTTCGGGGAAAGGCCTTAAATTTCTGTTTTTTCATTTTCAATTTTCAATTTTTACGCTTTTCAGTCTGTGGCCCGGAAATAAATAATTAATCGCGCGGATTGGTCCGCTTGTCAGGAAGGGTCAGGAAGGTCGCGGTGCTCGTCCAGTTTAATTTCAACTTGGTGTCGGTACGGTAACAATTCCTCGTGCGCAATGGACTCAACTAGTTATATCCTTTTTAAAGGAAACAAAAGGCTAACGCTTAAGGAGGACGACATGATTGGAGACAAAATCGCCAGAATATTCCAGGTAGGTAACACTTTTTTCGTTTGCTTGGAGAACATGCTAAAATCAAAGGATGCTATGCATAGCACACGAATAGCCGACTGATTAAGGCTTCTCAATGTTTTCTTTCAAAGGTATATGCTCCTAGCCTGTACATAACTGATGATGACAATGTGGCGATATTCCCGGGATCGGCTGGACATTTCAGCTGCTTGGACCTGAGACCTCGTGGCCACTATGAGGTTCATGGGGATGATATTGCTCTACCAGTCGCCGAGCAGACTCCTCCATTGTCAGGCCAGAATCGTTTCCAGTTCCATCGTATAGCACAGCCCACTGCTGCTCTAGGATCACCTGCTCAGACCATTGCTCCCACTACCCCGCGAGCAAGCATGAGTAACACCTTCCAAAGGTACCCCCAGTTCCATCCCTTCAGAGCCCCTACCCTTGACTAGCAAGCTACATATTAAAAAGGGGGTTCGTTTGGGCCAAGGCTAGCTACATAAGAATACATCAACATCATTGTATTTGTTTTTGTTATCCTTTGTAACCAAGATAATTTTAAAACTTGAATCAGTTGTAATTGGATCAATTGTAATGTAGGCTATGTGTTTGAGATGGAATTAATTGATTTGACTTGATGTAAACCACTCCCACAACAATCTTTCTAGGTCTGTTTTCATTGCTGAGCTCAGCCAGGGGAAACTGAAGCCTGCCCGTATGGTTGTACTCAGACTGTTTGAGTTTGAAGCCACAACCACAGGTATCCTTGCAAAAATACATGATGCCCTGCAGAGTGATGACCCTCTCATCCTGACTGATGCCCAGGGAAATGAGATTGTGGACTCCGAAGGGACAAGAGGTACTAATTGAAAAAATGAATAACTGCATAAAAATAAATGAAAATGCTTTGTTTGATAAACTACATGCCCCATCTACTTCAATACTATGCTCTCTTTATCTCTTAATTTTTTGGACCTACAAAGTATTCTGTTCAGCTGTAAATGTGTTTACATTATATCTGTTACATCCTCTCTTGCTAGGATCCAAGTATTGGAAGCAAAATGCAAAAAAGTTTCTTGCTGTCCCAGAGCAGATCTTCCATGAGTTCCAGCAAGGAACAAAGGGAAAGAAACTGAGGTAAACATTTGAGTTACTGCCTATCAATATTTGTCTTTATATTGTTTTAAATAACATCTCTCTTAAAAAAACAAAACAAGAAAGAGTTATATAATTATTGTATAATACATTTGTTTTTTGGTTTTGTTTTTAACCCTCCTTGTAGTAATAAAGATATGGACTCCACAGGTCTTCAGGGGGTCCATGATAAAATAGAAGAAGTGATCTTGGCTGCTCAAGGACTGAGTGAAGTCACCACAGTCATAAAAGACCTGTCAACACATGCCAGTAGCACCAGGGGCACCATGCTGGTTCTGACCAACACCATGATAACACACATGAAGGATGCCTTTGGTTGTATTGTATGCAAAGGTCTGTAACATAATTTGTTGTTTGATCTATTAAAATCTACCTTTTAAGCAGGATCTAGTTGAATGTTCAAGTGAATCAATCATTAATTCTTGCTTTTCCATGTTATAGTGAAACTGTCCCTTGCCAAGCTTTTACACATATGTAATATGTAGATTAAAGGAACAGTTCACCCAAAAAATAAAATTCTGTCATCATCTACTCACCCTCATGCCAGTTAAAACACAAGTAGCAAGTGGGTCTCCATTGACTTTCTATGCACTGTGTTAAGGTCAATGGAGACCCGCTTGCTCTCCAGTAGTGCTGCAACCTCCTTGTGTGTTATATGGACAAACTACACCCGTGTTTTAACTGGCATGAGGGTGAGTAGATGATGACAGAATGTTCATTTTTGGGTGAACTGTTCCTTTAAGTAAAGACAAGATAATATATTGAACTCTAATATTGCATATGTATTGTCCTTTTTATTTTTTTCATCAAACAGGGCTAATGGAAGAGCCTGTGATTGCCGTATGCTGCAAAAGCTTTGTTGGCTGCAAAAACTGCGTTGACCAGTGGATGCTGACATCTGACCAGTGCCTCAAATGCAGGGCAGATGAGTTCTCTGTCAATGTACACAGGCTGACCAGTCTTGACAATGTTCTCTCCATATTGGCTGGTGTAATTAAGATGGATTAACCCTTTAAGTGTGATTGTATCACATTCTATGCTTTAAGCTTGATTACCTCTGTTACATCTAGCTAATTGCCTTGTTCTAAAGTCAGTTGTAATTTTGCACTTGTTCAACAGCTGTAGAGGATACAGAATAGTTTTATTTTTATACATTTTTTGTATTTCATGTTGCACTTAAGACAAATATTGTGTAATGTTTAACATTGCTATTGTTGCAATTTTAGCAAGTGTTTGATTTTATTTGTTAAAGGAAAGTGACAAAATATACAGTATATCCAGAACCAACTTGTCTTTATTTGACATATTCATGCATATTGCTGCGTAATGTTTATCAGATACAGCAATGCATCTTGAAAAGGTACAAAGTTATAGTTTACCACATTATCTAATAAAACTGAAATATCAGGGTACTCTACAGCAAAAAGTTGTTCTGCTGATATTTTGTCCTCCTCAGTTGAGAAGGGGTCAGTTCCAAAGCAGGAGACTCTAGTCAGTGAAGAGCCAACATCCTGCTGGTACATGTCTGCTGCTTGGGAGGCATGGGGCAACAACTCCTCTCCCAGTTTTTTTGGACATCCTCCTGCTGCCGAACAATTGGGTGTTCCTTTGCCTGTGAAGCAAAGCATAGGTCACAAAATGTGATTATGGTTAAAATTCACTGTCAACTTTAAAATAAGAAGTTCACAAAAAAGGACTGGATTGTGTGATGTTTTTTTTATTTAACTCACCTGGGATTCTGTGTGCATTCCATGCATGTACAGCTCTTGTTATGCCAATCTTGCAAAGCTCAGCAGTAAGGTTAGATGTACAGTATCTAGTCACGTTGTCATCCATGTTGAGGACTTCCTGATCCTGCAGCTGTATGAGGGCCTCCTTCACTGGGTAATTTACCCGGTTATTTATCTCTACCCACATTCGCTCTACCGTATGATTCTGTAGACAAGAAAAGGGTAGATTTTTTTTAAACTAAAAGGTAGATAATATAAAAACAATACTCAATTAAAAGAATCCCCACTACATTTAGTCTGCAAAATCAACATGGTGAAAGGAAACAGGATTATATCAGATGTAAAAAGTTTACAGACAGTATGAAGAGGTTTGATTAAGAGTCCAAGGAGCAGGACCATTGATGCGTATGGGTACCTACAAGCACCCCCACTCAAGGGTGCATCTGGTTAAAGTGATATTTCGGTTTGCACAAAGTTGTGTCCTATCGGGTGATATGCTATAGATATTCAACTCACCACAGTGTTTTTTTGCCAGATCTCCTCGTAGCGCCCCCCCCCTCCCACATTTTGTACATTAAGGAGACCGTTACCTCACCTTTGTTGACTGAGTTTGGCAATATGGTTGCCTTTGCAAGTTGTGTCTGTGGTTAGACAGCATCTCCTGCATGTAGAGGGACAAGTAAAATTCCCGGCCATGGTCCACCCTGACCTGGTCCCACATCCCATATTCAAGAACTGCTGATCTGTAAAATAGTGAAACATGACTCAATCAAATGTTGAGTCCGCAATGTAGGATAGACCAACAATATTGCAATCTACTAGTGCACCGTTTTTGTGACTTATTGAAAAGAAGGGTGGCTATATTGGTCACAGATATTTTTTTTTTACTGTCAGAAATGTTTATTTGGAAATTTTGAGTTGTTTGTTTCTCACTTTAACAGAAGAATGTAAACAGGTGAGATGGGAACATTTTCATTTTTCATTCAGTTGCATAATAGTTCTACACACTTATAGTTGCCTAATAATTGTGCACACAGATTCTAAGAAAGCCAAAACCTTACTTTTACTTCAGGTTTGAGGTTTATTAACATTTTGGATTGACCGAAAGCACTGTATTTTTCAGGATTCATTTTATTATTTAACAACTACAGTGCTTTTGGTCAATCCAAAATGTACCCCCTATTGTACCTCAGAGTACCCCTTGGGTACACGGACCCCCATTTGAGAAATAATGGGTCAGTATGCCTATCACAAATAAAAAAGACAAAAAAAACCTTAGAATCCATATAACGTATAATAGTTTGTTATATGGATTCGACCGTTTTTCTAAAAAGTCACAAACAGTTTTAAAAAATGTCGAAAAAATTGAAAAAAGTCACAAAGTCACAAAAAAACTTGCAGAAAAGTGAAGTTGTGAGAAAAGTTAGTCTTTATATTACATACAAAGTAAAAAAAAAGTACATATGTATAAAGACTAACTTTTCCATGGACTTTTTCACAAAAAATTACGCCTGCCTGAATTTTTGACCTGAATTCTGAAATCAGAGAAAGGTTGAGAAAAGAAAAGTTAAGAAGTACTGGACTAACCTGTAAACTTCTTCATATATCGTGAGATTATTCTTGACTGGCATGGTTGCGTGGGCAACGACCTTACTGCTGTACCCATCTATTGCGAGAACATGTGTCACTCCAAACATGACCAATTTTTCATTCTGGTCGATGTGGATTTTGTGTCCCATGTATGCAGCACTGTAGGGGACGGGGTTAAGGTTACGTGCACCCTTTGGGGGAAAAGTAAGTAAAAGTTAGCTAGTAAAATACATTATACAATATACCACAACATTAAAGGCTTGCAAAAGATACTTACACGTTTGCGCATTTCGTGATAGGGACAATGAGTTGTTCTCAAAATCTTCCCCACCCGGCGTTCACCAGCAACCACTCCCATTGCAGACAGGTACCCTGTCATCATCTTTCGACCATATGTTGACCCTGTCTGATGAATCAACATAAGTAAGCTGTAACATGTAGGCCTAGTCTTCATGGATTTATATTTCATGAAATATACATAGTCTAGAAATAAATCAACAGAGGTGGGTAGAGGAGACAAAAATTGTACTCAAGTAAGAGTATTGTTACTTCAGCATAATATGACTCAAGTAGAAGTAAAAAGTAGTCATCCAAATAATATTTGAGTTAGAGTAAAAAAGTACTTGGGGGGGGGGGGAAACTACTGAAGTACTGAGCAACATCTGATTAATTTGTGAAGACATGCATTTAATCAGACAAAAATACAAAATACTAATCTTCAGGTAAATACTTCCAATCAATAAAATAATAGAATAAATAAAAATGAAAAATAAATTAAATATTTACAAAATAACAAATTACAGCACAAGAAACACACATTTCCAAATGTGATTGGTGAAACACAGTCAGGTGGTAGAGCCTATGGCGGAAGTCCCTCTGTCTGACAAAATAAAACATTAAATTGATGCGTAGGGGGGGATGATGATGATAATAATAATAATAATAATAATAATAATAATTCGTAGAATAGTGAATGGGTAAAGAAAAAAGTAACTAGCTCAGTTTAGCCTAATGGAGTGTAGTAAGAGTACATTCTTCTTCACAAATCTACTCAAGTAAAAGTAAAAAGTATGGAGATGATGTAAAACTATCTTAGAAGTACAATTCATCCAAAAACTTAATCAGGTAAATGTAACGTAGCAAATGTAACTTGTTACTACCCACCTCTGTAAATCAAAGAAATCCAAAATAACTTAGGCCTACCTGATTTATTGCCCTGCTGATAGCAACCTCTAATTGTGTGTTGGATACATGTCCCCTCCTGGAGATGTTGTGATGTGCACAAAATCTCCTGACACTCATTTCAGAACATCCTTGCTGCACACCTAATTGTAATAAATTCGTGGAAATGTCCGCGTGCGAGAGATTTTGAGCAATCATTTCTCTAATTAAATTTCCACAGGGCTCGAGTGACACCATCTCGTCCAGTCTTCAGACTCCTGCCAACCGAATCTGCTATTGTTGTGCTAAAGACGTGCTAATCGCGGGAAAAAAAAGCTAAAATACTGCTTCCGGTTCTCCTTATAATACCGGTAATAATACAGATATCTCTGCATTTTTGCATTTTGGATCAACATAGATTGGATTCTTCGTGTTTATCTGGGAATATAAAAATCCATAATAGGAAAACAACACAAAATCCAATTTTATGGCTATATTTTAATGGAAAACGGCTCTTGTTTGTTTGTTTTAAAATCTGCTACATATATTGAAAAAGAAAAATGCCTGTTTTTTTGTTTTCCGATTTGCGTTTCAGCATTGGAAATAGAATGAACGGAAGGTACACGGACCCATAACCTTTATGAATTTTGGCCGGCCCTCCTTTTCTTAAAACAGATTGTGTTGTTTAAAGGGGGCAACATGTTACTCTGACAGCTAGCGTTTGAAATATGTACTGCAGTTTAAATTCAAAACATTAGAGGGAGCTGTCCCCCCCAACCCCTTCTCCCTGGAGTCGATGCGGACACTGAAGCTTCAGTGTTTAGCCAGCTCTGCATTGGTCTTGTTTCTGTGCTCTTACCTCTCACCTTTTTTTAACAGCATCATGAGTATTGATCCTAGTACGTTTCTGCTCGTGGAGCTTATTAGAAACATGCAGAGGCTTTTTAGGTCGGGTACAATCACTTCTATCTGAACCAGATAGCTTGCCCGATTTCATCACTGCAACACCTGTTAGTTTGCCGTTTGCCTGGCAAAGCGAGGCACGTCCAAAACGGCTGAGTCGGGGTGTCTGTAAACCGCGTATAGCTCCTCTGGTCCAAACAAATCCAGAGCATTCAGGACCAGAATCTAAACATAGAAAGAGGACATACTGGCTGCTGCATTGTTGTCAGAGAAGCCAGCACTTCAACAGAGCATGTTTCCTTAATGTCTGATCAGATAGTAAGGTCATAAGTAATAATTCAGGTTAGTAGATATCTTACATATTGCTCCTTTAAGAAAATCCCCTTCTTATTGTTCATCCTTTTTGCGAATCAACCGTTTGATGTGAACCAAACTGTGAGCACTGATTCATAACTCCTCTGAGGAACTCTGACTGTGCCATTAAGCGCCAAATGTACTCCTCCTTCCATCGCAGTCTGATTTTTTCACTGTTTAAAATCTGATATATTTTGTGTTGATGGAATGTGTTTTTGTGTGTGTAAAGGGTTCAGACTTAGTTATTTGGTCGTTTAACTGGCAGTAATATGTGTCACGTTGGATGGATAGACGTCTGCTGTACTGGATGTCTGCATTTCATCAGATGCATGACAGGTTTACAGTTTAGAATGCAAACAATGTTAACAGCTCAATAACCCTCTTCTTCATACTGATAAGAAGAGGCATTGGTGCCCGAGGTCTTTTTTTTAGCACAGGGACATCCACTTGCTGCTGTCACACATTTCCAGCTTGTTGTAAGCTTGTTAACACACATCATCACTTTTCAGACAATATGTCAGATGTCTGTGGTGGACGTGTTGTCAACTGACTTTTTTCTTTTTTTAAAGCTGACAAATGCCTTTCTTTAATGATAAAACCAATAACTGTTTTACTTGTACTCCACAGAGTGCACAAGAAGAAAAACAATTCCAGCATCAGCTTGTTTCTTTTGTTGGTTCTGAAGATTATCTTGCCAGATTTCCCCGTTGTGTGAGGTTATGTAAAGAGTAATCTCTGGGGCTGCAGATTTTAAATCAGCCCATGTTTATTCCCCCTCCAAACCTTCATCCATAGCTTTACTTTTTTCTTTATTTAAATAATGCCAACCCTTCTTGCCCATCGTCCCCCATGTTTGTTTGTTTTACCCCATAATGTCACATTTGACCACAAGAGATTTTCTGATATTTCATTATATTTGTTCATGAACTGATTCTTAGTGTGTGGTGTTCTGTTTTGGTCACATCGTTTGGTCTCTACACACTAAATAAGAGGGTCTTCCATTTTTATCATCTGTTAAGAATTTAAAGACCTTTTAGTGTAGGACAGACTTCATGGAAAATAAATCAGCTGTCCTTCACTTATACATGGTTTCAACACCATATCTTTTTACCTAATCTGGGAACGTACTTCTACATGAAGTCTCAACACCACCTTGAGTTTGACAGGCAACCAGATCTTCACCACAAAGACAAGTGGTTCTTTTTCTGATTCAACAAATGTCTGTTTTAAAGGAGGTGTTCGCACATCAAACTATTTCATGAAGTAAGTGCGTAGGACATCCAACTGGCACATTGTAAAGAAAGAATCCTGCACACTCCTCTTGGTAAGCATCACCAATTTATTATTTTAGAAAAGCACTGACAAGGTTTTATGGTAGTACAACACTGAAACGTTGTGCTTTATTAAACTCATAAATTGGTGATGCTTACAAAGAGGAGTGTGCAGGATTTTTTCTTTACAATGTGACAATTTAACAAAAGTAAAAAAGAAAGAAAACGGCATTCGAAATAGCAAGATAAATCAACTTTAAAGATATTTCATCCGTCGAAGACAATTCACAGTTTTTCGTACTGAGAATTCCTCGGTCTGTGAAATTCTGCTTAGAGTACTTCGGGGGTGGTTACTCAGTGGAATTATTTTCTTTATAAAAGAACTGCTGCAAACTATGAGATCAAAAGACTAAACATGAGAAACTTGAGGCATGTGTCATCACCATTGAAAAAGTCACAGAGATGGAAAGTTTAAAAATATAGTCCTTCAAAAAATTGTGTCTAAGAACATTTCCTCTCTTTCATTCAGCCCACTCTCACTCAAGCACATTTTGTAATGAAACAATTAAATACACCTCCAGTATTGCGTGGTATGACAAAGTGTTTGTTTGTTCTCTCTTTGTCTCTGAAAACTTCTCGCTCTGGGTTTTCATCATGAATCTGAGTCACAAACAGGATCCCAGTGGAAAAAACAACTTTATGTGTATTGCCTTAAATTGTCTCTATTGCAAGGCTTCATAGAGAAACAGGATTTGATATGAGATCAATTTTTTATTAGATAAGCCAGAAAAATACACGGATGAAAAAATAAAAGGGATAAATACAACGAAAAAAAACATACAGAGGATAGAAGCCAGAACGTAAAATCAAATCAAAATCAAAGCCAAGGGGTTAGATCCCCCCAAAAGTACTGAGGCCTCAAGAGTCCTCAAGCGGACTGCCTAGGATCAAGACAGACCTGGGGCTCCTCTCATTTAACGGTCTCCTCGGTTTCCAACTCTATCCACTGTCCTATCAAATAAAGGCAAAAAGACAAAATAAAAAAAGAGCTCAATGCTGACCCCTGGTTAGATTTGGCGCTTACAGATTGCAGGTTCAAGGCCGACACAAACGGCCATGTTACCTCTGCCTTTGGTAATGCACAGAGGCAGAATGATGTGGTGAAGTCGTACTGCCCTCATCGCCTTCAGAGATATTAACAGAGGAGTGATGGGGGAAGATTACTTTGTTTCCGCGCAGTCGGGGTATCACGTTTTTGTTGTTGTTGTATCAGGGAGGTTTGATGTTAATCGTTCAGTACAACAGAAAACTAACAATAATAACATTACTTCTTATTCAAGGCGTAAAGGTGTTTGTGTTTGTCCAGTGACGTCACGGTTTGGATGCCACGGTTTGGACGCCACGGTTTGGACGCCACGGTTTGGTGCATAAAGTGGTGAAAAAAGTGGAGAAAAAAGGCAATCATGCATGCAGTACTCACACCCAAATGCAGGAGGCAGTAGTGATCGTTTAAACAACAAACAAAGACAAATGAAAAGAAGACGCATTCACAACAAACACAATCAATCAATTTTTATTTGTGTAGCGTCAACTCATAACAATGATAACAAGATGATACCTGAGAGCCACAGTCTTTAATTGAGATGGGCTGTGTTGGGGCGCTGGTGGCCTAGTGGTT